AATAATGCAATGTTGATTTTACCAAAGCTAGGTTCCGACAAGGCTATTCAGTCTGTGTGTGTGTGTGTGTGTGTGTGTGTGTGTGTGTGTGTGTTCCTAAGCTAGGGTAGGAGGGAGCTATTGAACCTGTAGAGATCACTTACAGAGAAGACGATCAGAGTCTTACTGAAAGAGACAGAGAGATGAAGAGAGAAAGAGAGAAAGAGAGAGAAAGACAGAGAGAGAGAGAGACAGAGAGAAATAGAGAGAGAAAGAGAGAGACGGAGAGAGAGAAAAAAAAGAGAGAATGAAAGAGAGTGTAAGAAAGAGCGAGAGAGAGAGAGAGAGAGAGAGAGAGAGAGAGAGAGACTGACAGAGAGATGGAGAGAGAGAGGCGTGAAATATTTCAGAATGTTTTCTCTGTGACATCTCTATGAAAGGTGATGGTGATACACCTGTCACTCAGACTGGACTGACAGAAAGACTCCAGACTCCCTCTCTCCATCCCTCCCTCCCCCCTTCTATCCATACCTGCTGATCTTCTCTCCAGTTTTTTATCAGTCCCTTGAAGAAAGGAAGTGTAGATGATATTCTGTCTATCTCCTAATCTGACATTTACCACACAACGACATCTGTTGCACATGTTCTCACACACAGAGGGTTTCATACCACATGGATTCACACACAGAGGGTTTCATACCACATGGACTCACACACAGAGGGTTTCATACCACATGGACTCACACACAGAGGGTTTCATACCACATGGACTCACACACAGAGGGTTTCATACCACATGGACTCACACACAGAAGGTTTCATACCACATGGACTCACACACAGAGGGTTTCATACCACATGGACTCACACACAGAGGGTTTCATACCACATGGACTCACACACAGAGGGTTTCATACCACATGGACTCACACACAGAGGGTTTCATACCACATGGACTCACACACAGATGGGTTTCATACCACATGGACTCACACACAGAGGGTTTCATACCACATGGACTCACACACAGAGGGTTTCATACCACATGGACTCACACACAGATGGTTTCATACCACATGGACTCACACACAGATGGTTTCATACCACATGGACTCACACACAGATGGTTTCATACCTGATCTTCCCCTCCTTTGGCAGCTCATGTCTTGGGTCGTCACACTGCAGCCTCGAGTCTCCCTCCAGCACGTACACACACACACACTCCTGTAAGATAACACACACACACACTCCTGTAAGATAACACACACACATCAGAAGCAAAGCTAGCATGGGGGGCAGGGCCATGGGTGTGACCGCCCCCTGTTCCTGCAGATAAAAATATATATACACTACCAGATAAAAGTTTGGACACACCTATTCATTCAAGGGTTTTTCTTCATTTTTACATTGTAGAATAATAGTGAAGACATCAAAACTATGAAATAACACATATCTTTTTAACCTTTATTTAACTAGGCAAGTCAGTTAAGAACAAATTCTTATTTACAATGACGGCCTACACCGGCCAAACCCAGACGACGCTGGGCCAATTGTGCGCCGCCCTATGGGACTCCCAATCACGGCTGGTTGTGATACAGCCTGGAATCAAACCAGGGGTCTGTAGTGATGCCTCAAGCACTGAGATGCTGTGCCTTAGACCGCTGCACCACTCGGGAGCCCAAGATATGGAATCATATAGTAAATCAAAATATATTTTATATTTGAGATTCGTCAAATAGCTAGCTTTGCACACTCTTGGGATTCTCTCAACCAGCTTCACCTGGAATGCTTTTCCAACAGTCTTGAAGGAGTTCCCACATATGCTGAGCACTTGTTGGCTGCTTTTCCTTCACTCTGTGGTCCGACACATCCCAAAACATCTCAATTTGGTTGAGGTCGGGGGATTGTGGAGGCCAGGTCATCTAATGCAGCACTCCATCACTCTACTTCTTAGACAAATAGCCCTTACACAGTATGTAGGTGTGTTGGGTCATTGTCCTGTTGAAAAACAAATGATAGTCCCACTAAGCCCAAACCAGATGGGATGGTGAATTGCTGTAGAATGCTGTGGTAGCCATGCTGGTTAAGTGTGCCTTGAATTCTAAATAAATCACATACAGTGTCACCAGCAAAGCACCCCCACACCATAACACCTCCTCCTCCATGCTTTATGGTGGGAAATACACATGCAGAGATCATCTGTTCACTCACACGCGTCTCACAAAGACACGGCAGTTGGAACCAAAAATCTTCAATTTGGACTCCAGACCAAAGGACACATTTCCACCGGTCTAATGTCCATTGCTCATGTTTCTTGGCCCAAGCAGGTCTCTTCTTCTTATTGGTGTCCTTTAGTAGTGGTTTCTTTGCAGCAATTTGACCATGAAGGCCTGATTCCCACAGTCCCCTCTGAACAGTTGATGTTGAGATGTGTCTGTTACTTTAACTCTTTGAAGCATTTATTTGGGCTACAATTTCTGAGGCTGGTAACTCTAATGAACTTATCCTCTGCAGCAGCGGT